ATAGCTTGGTAGTCGGAAGTTGGACAGTCCTTTGAAAATTGGCTCTCCGAGTTTTTTGCCAATAGGGAAGCGAGCTTCTATAGGAGGGGCATTATAAAGTTGGCATCTCGTTGGGGATTCGTCATCGAACAAAACGGCGCATATTTGACTTAAATTGCATTATTGTAACCAATTTTATGAACAATTGAAAGTTCAATAAAAATACCGCAAGACTTTTTTGACAACCTTATATTTGGAGATGATCTCAGCCAGAATGACCGAACCCATCGAAGCAGCGCAGCAGCAGAAGCAGCGCAGTGTGAGCAAATTAAGCCACGGCGTGCCCATCGCTGGTCTACAATGTACGCCATTATGAGGGTGGTGTTAAGGTGGCTAGAGAAGAAATCTCAGGCTGCAGGTGGAAAGGAGGAACAAAGTCTAAAGTTCTAGTGGTTAACCTGGACATTCGGAATGCGTTTAAAATGGCAGATTGGGAGCGAACAGTGGAGTCCCTGAGGATGCTTAAAATCTTAGCGTACCAGCTAAATATAGCGCTTAACTACTTTAGCGACAGGGTGCTAACGATGGAGTCCCGCAGTCCTGCACCGCTAGGCGGCCAATTCGTATTCTGATTCTGTATCATCCATATTGTATATTGTATTGGACTCGGGGTACGTTGTTTGCGGAGCGGTGCTAGGATCTTGGCCTCGCATTCCTGGAATCGCTTGACTATTCCCAGGACGTGGTCATCACTATTATTAAATGAGGTCAACCGGCTGCTCATTTCCTTCCTGTCGCGTCCAGAGAACACTCCTTAAGAATCGCTTTCAATTCCCGCTTCCGGAGATTCGAAATCGAACTTACTCTCATATTTGTAGAAAAAATAACTCAACTGGGCAACGATAAAACATTTTCGACGTATCGCAAATTGGGGGATATAAAGGTGTTTTAAAAAAATATATATATTTTTAGAGTAGGATTTCTGTTGCAAAGGGTCTTTTCTGGTTTATTTGTTTTAAACCTATCTTCTTGAAATTTACTCTTTTGACATAAGAAGAAATAAATAAAACAAATTTAATTTTTAAGGTAGGTAGGTAAAAGTGGTGAGGGAGTCCTGACCGCCTCCCATTAGAGCTGAGCTCCGTTTTGATCCACACCCTCGATTTGTTGTTGTCTGCGCCCTACTCAGTACCAGCCCGTATCATTCAGGTAAGCTAGGATGGCCTGGCTACTGGCTGCCTTCCAACTTCCCCTAGTGACTCGAGTTGATGTGCTCCGAAGTGTCGGGCTCTTTGTTTGTTGAGTGCCGGGCAGTGGCACAGCAGATGCTCTGGTGTCTCCTGCTCGCTTGGTTCCTTGCAGCTTCTGCATTGTGGGTTGAAGGGTAGGCCCATCTTACAAGCTTGCGTGCCTATTGGCCAGTGGCCGGTGATGGTTGCCGCTATCCTCCTGATGTCCTTTTTGCTCTTGGAGATCAGTTCTGCGGTTCGCTTCCTGTTGAATTCTGGCCAGCATAGTTTCGATCTTCTGTGCTCTGCCTTCGTCGACCATTCCTTGCTGGCTAGTTGTTTGAAATGGTCATGAATTTCCGTCTGGACCGAGTTCAGGGAGATCTGTATGTCTGTTGTTGCTGAGTGTTCTTCTGACCCTTTTCTGGCCAGCTCGTCTGCTTTCTCGTTTTCGTCTATGTCATTGTGTCCGGGTACCCAGGCTATTTGTACCCTGTTGTCCTCTGCGAGTCTGTTTAGTGCCCCTTTACATTTGGCCACTAGTTTGAAGTCGTCCGGGCTTGTGCGAGGGATTTGATCGCCGCCTGGCTATCTGAGTATATCCTCACCTTGGTATTCCGAAGGCCTCGGTCTAGCGAAAGTTCGGCAGCTTTCAGTATCGCGAGAACCTCCGCCTGGAAAACCGTCGCTGACTCTGGGAGGTGGTAGTATTCCTCCACCTTTCAGCTTTCGGCGTAGTTTCCGGCCCCTACCCCTATCTTTGAACCGTCGGTGTAGAGTGATACCTCATCCGGTTCGGTTACTCTCCCTCTCTTCCAGTCTTCCCTTGTAGGGTATATAGTGGTGTATGTGTTACCGAATCGCAGTTCGGTTGTCATGTAGTCTGTGTCTACTGTCGTCCGATAGTTTATCTCGTTCAGAATCCTGCAGTGTCCGGTGTGGTAGTCTTTCCAGCTTTGACTAGCCTTAAGTCGTACCGCACCTTGTGCTGCAGTGTTCCTGATGAAATGCTCTATCTGTATTATGTTCAGGATGGCGTTCAGCGCCGCTGCGGGGCATGATCTCAGTGCTCCCGTGGCTCCTGCGCATGCCGATCTTTGTATCCTTGTTAGTTTCTGGACGTTGTATGCCCTAGTTAATGCTGGCCACCATACTAGTGCTCCGTATGTGAGTATGGGTCTTACCACCGCTGTGTAAAGCCATATTATTATTTTGGGGTGGATGCCCCAGTTCTTTCCGAACATCTTCCTGCAGGAATAGAATGCTATGCTTGCTTTCTTGACTCTCTCGTTGATGTTTTGTTTCCATGAGAGTTTCGCATCCAGTATCACTCCCAGATACTTTGCCTGCTGTGATATCTCTAGTTCTTTGCCATCTATCTTTGGCTTTGTGAATCTTGGGACCTTAGTTCTCCTAGTGAAGAGCATTAGTTCCGTTTTACTTGGATTTATGCCCAATCCGCAGGCTTTTGCCCATGCATTGAGTTTCGTGAGTGCCCTTGTCATTAGTTCGCTGATGACGTCGGGGAATGGTCCTGAAGTGAGTAGGACTACGTCGTCTGCGTATGCTACCACTTTTACTCCTTCGTTATTTAGTGTTCTTAGTATGTCGTCCATGTTTATCAGCCAGAGCATTAGGGACAGGACTCCCACCTGTTTTAAATGTTATTTCAAAATTTACATTTGTTTCTCTTGTTTTCGGTTCTATTGATTTTCTTATAATATTGTTTACCTTATGTATATATTTTGCTTATATACATATTTATTTCCTTATTATAAATATTTTTTCCAAGAGTAGGCTATTTTTTTTTCGCAATGTTGTTCCATTATTTATATACCCTTGCAGGGATTATAATTTTAGTCAGAAGTTTGCAACGCAGCTATGGGCCATATTGGCCTATGTGTGGCCCCTCGAGGGCCGTCCGCTCTTACCTAACCTAACCTTGTAACGCAGTGAAGGAGACATTCCGGGCCCTAGCATCAACATGTTCTTCAGTTTTGAAGCTATTTAAATGAAACTTTGCAGATAGTCCTTTGAATACTTTTACTAGTATAAAAGTCAGAATGAGCAGGATCGGACTTCTTTTTCATATAGCTGCAATAGCTGGCATGAAATGATTGTTAAATGTAAAAGAAAATGCAAAACTGCTCTATATCTGTGAAACTGTAATGTGTAATGAAATTTGGCATTACTTCCAATCGCTCAGTTACGAGATAGAAGCCGTTGTCTTTGGAGCGATTTAAATACAACATTTATGGCAAAATAATTATTTTGATTATAATCAAGGTCGTCACATATGGTAATGGAAAAACGAATTGCAAGATGGTCGTTACGAATCCAGGAGTTTGACACCGACATCGTTCATCGAGCAGGAACACAGATGGGACGCGCTAAGTAGTAAATTGAACATTTTTATACCCTTGCAGGGTATTATAATTTCAGTCAGAAGTTTGCAACGCAGTGAAGGAGACGTTTCCGACCCTATAAAGTATATATATTCTTGATCAGCATCAACAGCCGAGTCGATATAGCCATGTCCGTCTGTCCGTCTGTCTGTCTGTCTGTCTGTCCGTCTGTCTGTTTCTACGCAAACTAGTCCCTCAGTTTTAAAGCTATCTGAATGAAACTTTGCATATAGTCTGCTATATAGTCTCACTGCTATATATGTCGGAACGGGCCGGATCGGACGACTATATCATATAGCTGCCATACAAATGTTCGATAAATTTTTAGAAAAAAAATTATAACTTGGCTGTTTTTCAACATTTTTGCAACATTTTTTAGATATGGCTATTTTATATTATTTTAGAATTTTGATAAAAATTTTATGAAAATCGGACGACTATCGGACGGCTATAAGATAGCTGCCATAGGAACGATCGGGAAATTAATAGGAAAAAATTATAACTTCGTTGTTTTTCAATGTATTTTCATCTACTCTGAGATATAAGCTTATTTTATTATTCTAGAATTTTGGTATAAATTTCATAAAAATCGGACAACTATATCATATAGCTGCCATAGAAACGATCGGTAGATGTAGAGAAAATGTAAAGCTGGGAATGCAAAACTGTAACTGTCAAACTGTAAACATAATAAGTATAGGTAAAATGTAATGAAATAATATCTGCAAGGGTATACAAACTTCGGCGTGCCGAAGTTAGCTTCCTTACTTGTTAATTTTAATTAAAAAAAATTAAAAATAAAAATTATTCTCCAATTGAAAATAACAGTTGTTTGCCAATGTTTATTTTAAAAATTGAATCGTAATATATTTTCAACGGATAGACATATCTTAAGGATTGGCATTGGCATTTGTAAAATAACAGTTATTATTCAATTTTATATAAATATTTAAAACAAATATATATATTAATCTTACACTTTTTTATAGAAGTTTAAAGTAAAAATTATAACTGTTACGTTCCGTAATAAATTAAAAATTTTTGGTCGCTTACAGTTGACAAAAACAAAACAGATCTAAATGTATTAAAAAACAACGTGCCAAAACTGTTCATTTGTACTATATGACATGAACCATGCATTCTTTTTTTTTTTTTGCCGAGGTTCATTAAAAGAAGCAAATTAATATATATTCTGTTCAAAGTAAACCATGCAAGGGTATAAAAACAATATTAACGTGTGTACCCAAACTGACACAGTTGTAAAATTAGTTAAATTAAAATTGGTATAAGTTATAACGTTTTGATCTTGCTAGAAATAAAAATTTATCAAGTTGTCAGCCAACTATTATAATTTTAATATATTTTGAACCTTTTTTTCTAATTCCAGAGGCTGAGTAATGATCACATCTGTTACTTTTTGTACCAAATATTACGTGGACTAAAGTATATACACTCAGCAAACGTTTTACATCGGGATTTAAAACCAAGCAATCTTTTATTAAATAAAACGTGCGACTTAAAAGTATGTAGTTTCCTTTCAATACGGCTAAATAATAAATAAGTGTTAAATACCCTTTGAAAGTTTGAAATTATTAAAGAATGAAGTTAAAATCTTTTAAATTTGTATCCCTATTTAATATTGCAAAAAATAAATATATTTGCAAAAATTTTAATAGGGCCTGTTTTTTAATATCAGGCTAACTTTAGTTATTACTTACAAATTTGGAATAAAATCACATACAAATGATTTAATTCGATATGATCCTTCATACATAGTATATCAAAGCTTGACTTCAGTTTTATGTCTAGTACGAAGCAGCTACAATTAAAGTGTGTATAAATGATTTGGTCTGAGCGAATTTGCTGTGGCCATGGAGGTAGAAGCATGAGCTAACCGGAAAGAGCACAAAATATTGTTTTGCTTGTTGTTCCGTCTCAAATCAAAAATTAATGTTTGTTTACTTTTATCAGTCACAGTCGAAAATTCAACAAACTAAAAATACCCAACGGTATTGGAATTCTAGTATATATCTTATCGCTGTTGCATACCGACTTGATAAAAAGGCAATCGAAAATAAATATGAATCCCTCTCGAATTTATGGGATTGAGTGCAAACGCTGCTCCGTACGTAGCTTTAGGGGGGCATCTGAGTAACTGGCAAAAAAAAAAGCCGATTTTATAGAATTTTTTTTTGGCCAAATGAAAAAGCCAATCGAAAAATTTTAAAGTAGGTTTGATAATGTTATATGTGAAATACAAAATACATTTTTTTGGAATAAATCGAAAACAAAATGGCGGCTGTGCAGCATTTCTTCGTAGGCCCTTTTTTGTTGAAGGGGGTCCATGGCCGGAAACCTAACGTCCTTAATTTTTTATCTAGAAAAAAAAATCAAATTTTGTTAGAATCTATATCTCAACCGCTATCGACACACGTATATTTTCGATATTTTGATTTTTTGCAAAATGGTGAGTGATTAAATAAAATTTTAAATTTTCATGAGAAAAAAACGTCACAAAATTATTGATAAAAATAAGGAAGCAAAAATAAAATAGACAAGGGTATTTTGGATACACTGTCAAAATTTCAGATCGATCGGTTAAGATTTGTTCGAGTTAGGTTTCCGGCCAATTCAAAAAAGGTGGTTTTGAGAAAAACGCGTTTAAAGTTTTAAAATCGTATATATTTACATGAGAGGCATCGCCGCAGAATGGAAAATTTCGACACTTAGACACATTTGCCGGACTCTATCTTTTGGTATGTTATTTTTGAGACCCTAAAGAATTTTTTAAACAAAAAAAAATTTTCGATTTTTAAAAAAAGTTACTTAGATGTCCCCCCTTAAGAATAGCAAATATCTGTCATTTTAAATCCATATTCTTACCTCAGACCGGATAAGGAGTGTTTTTTAATGATATGCTCCGACTCACATCAGGTGGTCAGAGGCAAGGATAGGTGTCTTAAATTTAATTTTTGTTAAAGTCTAATGACATTTCAAAATATAACAAAAAGTACAGGTTGTAAAGCAAACATAAAACGTCCCCCCTTAATGGTAATTTTAGCTTTTGACTTCCATGTAGATGATAATTCGAGGTAAAACCTTTTTCTATGGTTTATGTATTGAGCTTATAAGATTTTACTAGAAAATCTGACGTTGCTCTGACATCGATCAAAAATAAATACTATTGAGAAAGTGGCAATAAACAAGAACAGCTGAATAACTAGACAGTTATAAACCCAAAGACTATTTTTTGTCGTATTTTAATTTATTTTTTAAAGGTCAAATATCTAAAGAATATTGTATCAAAGTATAACATCGATTTTAGCAAAATTGACGAAGTTATGCGTAGTTAAACGGAGGTCGTTGGGTGTTCAATGTATGAGTAGCACAGAGTTTATAGCGCTCTCCTGAACAATGTCATTTTTAAAATCAGTGTTAACGATAACTCAAAATCTACTGAACCAATCGTTTTGAAATTTGGAACATAACTTCTTTAACTAATGCCTCAGGTACTCACGTCACGGGACACCTATCTCTTAACTAATGCATTATATTTAGTTATTTAATATCGGATGCTTTTGTGGACATTTAGAATGTACACCGAAAGCTAATATACGTATCATAACATACATATGTATGATGTACCTATACATCATCCTATTCTTATACACACTGCGTTGTAAACTGACGACAAAAATCATTAAATCCTCTCTATGGGTATACAAAACGGAAGACTGTACCATTTATCTTTTATAGTGACTAACATGGCAATGGCTCAGAAAAATTTCAAACTGCAGGGGTAAAATAACTTCGGCTCCTCGAAGTTTATTTCTTTTCTTAGGTTTTGTAATATCACTGGATAAAATTTTTTTTTTTTTTCTTTAATAGATTTGCGACTTTGGTTTAGCTCGAATCGCAGATCCTGAACACGATCATACAGGTTTTTTAACGGAATACGTTGCTACTCGGTGGTATCGGGCACCTGAAATAATGCTCAATTCTAAGGGATACACAAAATCAATTGATATTTGGTCTGTTGGTTGTATATTGGCAGAAATGTTAAGTAATCGCCCAATATTTCCTGGAAAACATTATTTGGATCAACTAAATCATATTCTTGGTGTATTGGGCTCACCATCTCGTGAAGATCTGGAATGTATTATAAATGAAAAGGCATGTATAAAAACTTGTTAACTAATTAACGTGTTATTAATCTTTCATTTGACAACAGGCTCGAAATTATTTGGAATCTTTGCCTTTTAAGCCAAATGTTCCATGGTCCAGATTATTTCCGAATGCAGATGCTTTAGCTTTAGATCTTTTAGGAAAAATGTTAACTTTTAACCCACATAAACGGATTCCTGTGGAAGAAGCTCTTGCACACCCCTATTTGGAGCAGTATTACGATCCTGGAGACGAGGTAATTACTTATTTGCTTGTATTGTAGTATATAATGTAGTTGTATACCATGAAAAGTATTTTATCAAAAAAGAAGTTCTACTTCTATCCAATCGGCATAAACACATTCTGTTTATATAGTTAACAAATATGAGTTCTTTTACTGAGTATGCTCATTTGTGAAAGCAGAAAAATGAAATGTGGGTAACCTCATTCTCATAGTGTTTGTTGGTAATGGATTTAACGGTTCCCAGCAGACAAAGAAACGGACATAAGCGGCTGGATCCGAAATATGTCCTCTAAAGATATTAAATACTAAACTTTCCGCATAAGTCTAGCTAAATGCCCGAATAACGGACGAGAATCGCGAATTCCCAGGATTATACCCGCGAAAGATGTCGTAAAAGGTTCGCTATTAAATTCCTATTCGGATTCCAAAAATAGCATTTGCTGCCACAAAACCAATAACATGTGATTAACTTTATTAACGTTAATGTGTATAAATCGGACGTTTTGTCGGCCTAAAATTTGCCAAACTATCGTTTTCAATATCATAAACGAAGTTTTTGACTACTGGGTTGTTGTAACTACTATTATATAATATAAAATATAACAGTTATTATATTTATATTTACATATTACAGTACCGTAGAAAACCATTAGTAATCGTCAACAACAAATGTCAAATCTATCCCCAACAAAAACTAAGGTCATTTTTATACCCTTGGAGTGTATTATATTTTCAGTCAGAGTTTGGAACGCAGCGAAGGAGACATTTCCGACCCTGTAAAGTATATATTCCTGATTAGCATCAACAGCCGAGTCGATCTAGCCATGTACGTCTGTTCATCCGTCCGTCCGTCTGTCCGTCCGGCTGTTTGTTCTTAAGCAAACTTGTCCCTCAGTTATCTATCTGAATGAAACTTAGCATATAGTTTTCTGAATACTGTCACTGCTGTATAGCTGCCATACAAATGATCGACAAATTTGTAGTAAGAAAAAATATAACTTGGCTGTTTTTCAACCTATTTTTATCTTTTAGAAAATTTTATTATTTTAGAATTTCTGCTGCTGTTCGCATCCTGGCTTGGATTCCCTCAGTTGCTTTCGTCCTTTTCCATTCAATCTCCGACTATAATCTTGGTTCGGTTTATCGTTATATTTTTATTGCATACAAATGACAATTAATTTAATTATTGCCACCGAAACGTTGTCCGGCTCAGCCGTGGGATCTGCAGTTTCAGCGCCTCGTGCTGTCGCTGTCAGTGCCAGTGCCAAAATTGGCCAGATGAATTTTTTTGTTAAAATCATATCTTAATCTCTTACATTTCTTAAATAATACCTTAGACTAGAAAATAATGGCTATGGCGATATTGCGATGGTTATAGCTTTACGAGATTTCCTCTTGTCAGGTTTGTCAAAGGCTTTACAATCTTAGCATAGTCCCGGATGAACTTCCTATAGTACGATTAAACTTTTCGTATATGTCGCAGATTATTTTGTTAATTCAAATTATAACGATTTTTGTCGGTACACACTTGTTTAATTTATTATTGCTTCTCTGTTCTTTCGTGCGAGGCATACACTCTTTTGCCAACGTAGCCTGGGCGTGGGTATGAAAGAGACGGATATTGTTTTCTGAGAACTCACCACACCTGCGTGTGTGTTGCAAGGTAAAAAAGGAGTTGAAATTGAATGACACAGCGTTTTTGAGTGGCAAGCAGATTGGTTGAAAATTTGAGGAATCATGCCACTCGCCAGGAAACGTTTCGCCGAAAGTCCAGTTGAGGACTCCGATGCTGGATCGGCGTCATATACATATGTATACATACCTTTAAACTCGTGAGAGTTTTCCCCAAAAATTACAATCAAAAATAGGTGACTAGCGACTATCGGCCTAGCTGCGGAATTTCCACTGGCGCGGGGAAAGAAGAACGACGAACAAATTTATTGCGCTATCGCAGTCAGCAGTTCATAGATCGGCTACTACTATAACGAGCAGCACTCGGCTGGGTACAAGCGTGGGTGCAAACTGATTTTGTTTACATTCATTTTGTTTGCATTCTATTTTAACAATATAATCTTAAATCTACTGCTCCAACACCATTTCGTGTTGAAAAGCCGGTCCTTGCAATGCCGCTATACTATACAAGATCTAATGGAGCCCCGATGTCAGATGGAGGGTATTAAAATACTTTGCCATCTCAACGCCATCCAAGGTGAATCGGGTATGAGATATCAATCTGATGTAATAACCGAGTGGATAGTTGTAAGGGCTCGTTGATGGCCATAGAAGTTCCTTTGTTTGTTTTTCGACTTTTCCTCTCATATTAGTAGGGTAGTCATTTCTGAGTGTGTGTAGATAGGGTCTTGAGTTTTGGTGCGAGTCTCGGGCCTAACGATCGTATCTACAGCCATACCTGGTAAAATTGGTTAAAAGATAGAGGCATACTTTTGGAACAACTCTTCTAGCGCGACCTTGACAGATTTGGAATGTTCGCCCTCGATAAGCGCGTTGATGCTTGAAGACAACTTTGCTAAAAGAGGCAACCTAATTCCAATATAAGATAAGGAAATCGATTTTCCTGTCTATATGGGCCTTCATTTATTTGAGGGTATCATCGCTTTTGATTTATCCTATGAAGTATCGACTCTTTTGTAACGTTTTATGTACTCCCTCGTATAATGGGAGTACATAAAACGTTAGAAAAGAGTCGTTACCAGAGAATTGGAAAAATTTTTCTATTTACCGATATATATTTTTTTACTTTACTCAAAGTAGTTTGGACAGAAATATAAGAAGGGATAAGGATGTGCATAAAATTAGCAGGTCAAATTTGGAATATCGAACTTTATTCCATAATTTGCCGTTAACTATCCATTAATCATTCATGAAAGAATTACATATGTTGCTCAAGTTTTTATTATTATTGTTTAAAAACATAAAGTTTCTTGATATTAAATTAGAAAAAAATTTAGCGGCAATTTTGTTGTTTTACGAATACTTTACGGATACTAACTTGATGCACATGGAATTGGGGTGCTACAGGAGAAATTTGGAGACTGATAAAATTGCTATTTGCGCTGGTTTCTATAAGGAATTAAATTTTGCATGGTACTCTAGAGAGGCGTCAGTCATAATATTTGGGATCAAAACGATCAAAACGGAGCTCAGCTCTAATTGGAGGCGGCCAGGGCTGCCTCACTACTTATACCTACATCCGCCTCGAGGCTGTCGTTCGTGCGTGTTTGGGCCGCGCTTGCCTACGAAGCCGCCTTCCTGGTGTGCATTATAGACCGACTGATATGAGTGTCCTGACTTATTGGACTACATTTTAATAGCTGGGTTCGTGGAACCTTTGGAAACTCCGTGAACTTCCAGCCAAATCGTAGTTGCGACTCGCAGCTTCCGAGATACCAGTCATTGACTGATAGGGTGAGAAAAATCTTGGGGTTGGATTTAGCGCAGCATAGTGCGGTGCGCAAATGGCCCGATATGGGTGAGAAAAGCGATTTTTAGGACCTGTGCGACCCATGTCTAAAGGATATATTCGCGTAAGAGTAAGCCTAAGACAGGCTCTTTGGACCACGGATCTATTGTTGTTTTGAGGTTGTGCTATTAAGACCTCTTATAAATAACTAAAAGTCTCGATCAATTGAACTGTGCCCGAAACCTTGTAACGACCAGTTTCCTGATGCAACCAGACGTGCAGTCTTTCCTGCTGTCAGTTGCGCTTGGATATCTAGGGAATATATACCGATTATGATTTCGAGTGCTTTGGGGTTGATCTCAGCGCCCCTGATATGCAGAGCTGTGCTTGCCGCTGGGTTTTCTCCATAAGGTTATTATACGATTTATTCTCCATGGCTTGCCACCACACTAAAACTCCATACAGCAGAATCGGACGCACCACCGATATGTAAACCCAATGCATTAGAGAGCGGGTGAGAAGCCTCATGTGCTGCTGAGCACCTACTTGGATGCATATAGCGCTATGGTGGCCTTTTTCACCCTCTCTACAACATTGGCCTTCCACGTCAGTTTGCTGTCAAGTACAACGCCGAGGTATTTGACTTGTGTTTTCGGGGTCAGCCTTGTTTTGTTAATTTTTGGGGGGATCCATTGCGGCACCTGGTATCTCTTAGTAAAGAGATATTAAGTTCTACCTTCTCCGCCCACTCACATATCTCCCTGAGCGTTGTTTCCATGATCGGGCTGAGGGTCAATGGACAGACTCCCGTGATTTCATCCGCTATTATCTTTGGAGCTTTCCTCTCGAATCTCTTGATTAGGTCGTCTACCACCAGATTCCAGATTCCATAGGAGGGGCGATAGGACCACACCTGGCGGCGTGCCTCTGTGCGCTCCTCTCACCATGGAAGAGGTGCCCCAATCTGATTGTACCCGTCGACAACTTAGAAGATTTCTTATCCACAAGTTGATAGCAGGGGACGAGTTGGTCGCTTCTAAGCGATCCATTATTGCGTCCGTGCTAACTTTGTTGAATGCCTCGGATATGTCCATGAACACTCCAAGTGCATATTCCTTATTGTGTAGGGCTCTCACCATGGTGGCTACCAACTAATGTAGTGCCGTCTCCACTGATTGCCCCTTCGTGTAGGTGTGCTGGTTGGTCGACAGTAGTCTCTCTACATCGTTCCGGATGTATAAGTCCAGCAGCTTTTTCAGCGTTTTAAGTTGAAATGGAGCTTTTTTCCGCTCTCTTGCATCACCACGGTTATAATGAGACATAAGATTAGCGTGTAGACCCTTCTATAGAAGTACAGCTGTTCTATTCCTGCTTACCGTTGGTGGATGGAGCAAATTGTAATTTGCGGACTTCAGTCCGGCGATTGCATTGCCTGAGGCGATCCATTGCTCCTGGACTAAAGCTATGTCGGCGGATCCTTGCTCCATGGCTCTCCTTCGTCGGACTCATCCAGCGTCATTTCCCGGTCGGCATCCACGATGGTTTCCAGACCCAAGTCCTCTTCCACCACGCCTGCCTTCAGGGTATGACCATCCTTATCCCCGGGATAGCGCTTTTTGAGGGGCAGATATACGCTACCTATGCCCCACGCCATATTCCCGTATCTGGGATAAAGGATGTCCTCTGCCTTCTTGTTTATCTGGAGGACTACACTTTTCCCCCTTCCTTGGGTGATGGGGTCGCAACGTGCAGGACCTTCCAGTCCGCGGTTGGTATATCCGGATTCTGATGCTGCAGCAGCTTCAGCGAACGGTCCGCTTGGATTGCGATGGGGAAGGGTACCTTCGCCTTTGGAATGGACGGGATTAGCTCCCGGTCACCTTACTGACCTGCGGTCTTTTTGGGCTTTTTCGCCATTTGGGGAAGACCTGCCTCCTAAGGCCCGCGTTAGGCGCTTCCGGCTGAGTGTTGCCTTTTGTTGGCAAGCGTTGTTAGCGAATCCGCCCGTCGATCGGATGTGGGGGAGTTTGGCGAAGTGAAGCCTCCCCTCAGCGATCTTCTCCTCTGCCCAGGTAAGCTATACCTTCTTCTCTGGGGATAGCGCTGCTTTTTCGTGGAGCCGAATCTGGATGCGGAGGGCAGCCTTGTACTGTGCCTTAGCCTTCATCCCCTCGCTTGACCGTCTTGGCCCGTCCCTGCGCTGGGAGCTGGTGCCTGGTTTCGGCGAGTGGAGAAAGCTTTCTTCTTTCTCTTTGGAGAGCTGCACGCTCCCAAGGTCCGAGTCTGTATCGACTTCCTCAGCGTCGTTTTTTCGGCAGTAGCGTTGCAACATGACCTGCTCCCGTCACAATTAGAGGTGTAACCGCTGACGACACGCAGAGAGGATTGCTCCCCCCGTGCCCGCCGGTGGTAGCGGTCACACCTTCCACCGACGTTTGGGCTGACATCCCAGCCCTGGTTTCTTTCTTTAAGCCCTCCAGAATGGTTTCTTTTTCAGGGGTTCCACCACCCTGCGTTTTATGCCTGCCGCCAGGTACCCCCAGCCATGGCTAATGGTTTACATCTTAGGGCTTTTTAGGGCAAAAGGAATTAAGGGTCCATTCTGGTTAGCTAAAAAAAAATCGAAAATTTTTTATTTTTTCTTTTTTTGATAGTTATAAGTGTGTAGAATATCAAACGGCAAATCAAAATACGTAAAAGTTTAAAAGTTATGAGCCTCCGAGCCGGCCGACTTAACGGAGGTACAGAGCATACATAATACTTTAATCGCGTTTTCTGGAAAACTACATTTTTCGAGCTGGCGACCGTTATATCTCAGTCAATTTTTAACGAATCTTGATGTTTTTGTTTTTAAATACGCGTAATGAAGTTGTCCATGGAATAGACTTCAATTACATTGATAGCTTATACATTAGATTTTTAATCAACAAAAAAATGAAGAAAATTTTCAAGGAAACGAAAAAAAAAATTTCAATCGCCGCCATTTTTTTTATTTTGTATTAAATTTTTATAATTCTAGTCTATTCCATAATCACATTCATACTAAACAAGAACATATTTGACTTTTTTGTTTCAGTCGATTTGTACGTCCTGCAGGACGGTCGCCAGAGGGGTTCCTTTTTTGGGCATGGGCTTACGTCGCCCTATGTCCTGCTTCAGGACATGCTCTAAAAATTTTGAAATTTTCGCTAAATCATCTTTAAACTATGATAAATATATGTGACAAGTTTGAACTTTCTATGTCTTTTCCTGAACTTCCTGAAAATTTCCTATTTTTTGGCCCAACTAACCAGAATGGTCCCTTAAATCCAGGGCACGTAATCATTATAAGTGAAAAAATAAAAATCAACGATTAATGATTATCTATTGATTTTAATATATTTCGCTTGCCATTAATAATTATAATTGTATATTTACTTCATCGCTCAAAGAATAATAATTATTATTTTGAGCGAAAAAAGTTCGATCAAAAAATAATGATAATTTTTTGAGCGATATTTTTTCGCTCAGAATTTCGCTCAATGTGTAATATCTTCTTTCTGCGAGGTTTCTTCGAAAAAATTTTTACATGAAGGATTTTTGACAGCCTATTTACATTTAATGTTATAGACTTTCAAATACATTTCTTATATTCTCCGTTTTCGATAAGAAAATTACTTTTAATGTTATCCAAAACGGAAAATTTAAGAAAATATATTTGAAAATCTAAAACATTGAATGTAAGTAAATGTTAAGTGTAAATTAAACTTCAATTAAATTAAATTAAGTACAGAGTAAATACAAAATGAAAATATTATATCTCTCCCTGTTATGTTATTTTTATTTGACAAAAATGGGTCGTTATTTGCAAACTGCAAGAGTATTCAAACTTTGGAGTCCCGAAGTTAGCTTCTTATATTGTAAAAGCTATAAAATAATTATTCATTTAATATTTAATTTTTATATAGCCTGTCGCCGAAGTCCCCTTTCGCATAAACATGGAAAATGATGATATATCTCGTGATGCCTTGAAATCATTAATTTTTGAGGAAACTTTAAAATTTAAAGAACGACAACCGGAACAAGCTCTTTAACAATAGATTATAGATATAAAATCAACAATTTTTCTCTTTTCAATGTTTCCTTTAGTATTTTATATTTCAACCAATTTTGTGATTTATCTATTACTTATTTCCATTTTGTATTATTTTATAAAAATACAGTGTTTTAGGCTACTAAATGTTACAACAATTATATCATAAAAACGTCTGTTAAAAAAAAATATTAAAAAAAAAAAACTTTAATGCTAAATGTATATTTCAGGATCTAATATATATACATTATTGTTTCATTTTAATTTAATATTGTAAAAATCTAAGTGTAGAACGGCAAGTCGGTAAAAAATGTCAACTATATTCGATCAAAAGTATGTGAAAAGAAGAATGCTACCATATTCTCACACCAAATAAAATGTATACACTCTTAATACGCGATGTTTGCGGTTTGCCTGGTAGTATGTCTATAACTGGTGCGAGGTATCTAAACGCAGATCGAATTAATTTTTCCACAAATTCGATTAACACGGTACTGATACTTAAAGATCTTTGTCGGTCCATTGCTAATTCGAAATCGAAGTCTTCATCACGCATCAAACTATCCATCAAAGCTTGTCTTGACACTTTTCAGAACTATTAACGATAAACACAACATAGCAAAAATATGGGACAAAAGGAAGTTCAGAAACAATATAACGGACGAACCTGAGGTCCCTCATTGATTTTTCTTTCAGAATCAGTCTCGTCTTGTCTTTGGGTAAAAAAAGTTCGTATTTTGTCGACCTGTGTAATATATTTTTTTTAATAGTCTTTAAAAAAATGGAAACACTTTCTTAATGTGGCTGCCATTTGTGTTGTAAATGTAAACTATCTTTATTATATTAGAGAAAGTATACTTTTTAATTATATGTGTATGTTTCAGACTTTGCAATTATTAAAATATAAAATTAAATATGATATTTTGTTTGAAATAAAAATTAAATGAATTTACATTTTTACAATTTTTGTATATTAATTATTATTAACCAGGTAGGTGGTTTTGTACGTTGTTTGTCAGATATACTTCTGACCTAGGTAACGATAAATGCTTCTTTGACCAATTGTTTTTTTTTTATAATTATACTAGCATGCCCACAGCTTTGCTTGCGATAGATAATTTTCATATATTTGGCGGATTGCTATCCGCCAACTCGTATTTATCTGAAAACTAGATTTCTCATATATGAGTTATACAGTATTTTTTTGTCAACACTTTCAGGTTTTTATTGAAACTAAAATGAATTCCCATTTCCACACCACCCGGAAGTAGAGGATAGGACGCTTTTTTATTAAATGTGATTTCTTCCAAAACGGCTTAGTTCTATATACACTGCCGCTCACTTGAATAGCCCGTTACAATTATTAGCGCCTCTCGAACAATTAGCGTTGCAAATATCGAAAAAGTCATGTTCCAAAAAACATACTTATTCGACAGAAAATTTGTGCATTCAAAGTTGAACTTTCTTTCGTTTTTTGCATCATAAAAAAAAGAGATGGGAAAATCGGTCGACTTACAGGTAATATTACACGAAAACCATAAAAGCAATGGTTTTTACTTTAAATGATGAATACATTCATAAACTGTTAAAGAACCTAAAAAACGGCACTTTGGGTTAGGCTTGTACAGGTAAATCGCTACCTGCCAGGTGTAAATTTTTTTCTTCTGCCTAAAGTGATCTATAACTTCTGAAGCCGATGAAAGCCACCGACTAACAGGTTGGCTGATAAGTCCCCGGTCTAACAAAGAAAAACACATTTTTTTGTCAAAATTCGTTTTTATTATTCAACATAGTTCCCTTCAAGAGCGATACAACGATTATAACGACCTTCCAATTTTTTGATACCATTTTGGTAGTACTCCTTCGGTTTTGCCTCAAAATAGGCCTCAGTTTCGGCGATCACCTCTTCATTGCAGCCAAATTTTTTCCCTGCGAGCATCCTTTTGAGGTCTGAGAACAAGAATAAGTCGCTGGGGGCCATATCTGGAGAATACGGTGGGTGGGGAAGCAATTCGAAGCCCAATTCATGAATTTTTGCCATCGTTCTCAATGACTTGTGGCACGGTTGTTTTTGGTCAAATGTGAGCTCACGCGGCACCCATTTTGCACAGAGCTTCCGCATATCCAAATGTTCATTCATCAACATATGACCAACACGTTCCTTTGATACTTTAAGGCCTCTGCTATCTCGATCAACTTTATTTTACGGTCATTCAAAATCATTTTGTGGATTTTTTTGATGTTTTCGACGGTAACCACCTCTTTCGGGCGTCCACTGCGTTCACCGTCCTCCGTGCTCATTTCACCACGATTGAATTTTGCATACCAATCAATTATTGTTGATTTCCCTAGGGCAGATTCCGGAAACTTATTATCAAGCCAAGTTTTCGCTTCCACTGTATTTTTTCCCTTCAGAAAACAGTATTTTATCAAAACACGAAATTCCTTTTTTTCCATTTTTTTCACAATAACAAAAGTTGCTTCACAAAAGACGCTCTATCTCACAAACTAATTGACTGACAGACGTCAAATTTTGACACGAATCATTTAAAGGTTAGTACTATATAAAAAAAATATGCATTCAATACTAGCGACGTGATCTATCAGCCAACCTGTTACACTATGGGTATAAGTTACGTGGATCTCTCCTGGACTACCGCGGTTGGTATATCCAGATTCTGATGCTGCAGCAGCTTCAGCGCTCGGTCCGCTTGGATTGCGATGGGGAAGGGTACTTTCACTTTTGGAATGGATGGGATTAGCTCCCGGTCCACCACATCCAGTTTGGCCCCCTCCCACAGCGCCTCCAACTGGCAGACCGCTTGCGTCAGGCACTTTCTCTTCGGGACATCCATGCACTTGTGACGCTCCGCGCACAAAAATAAAATAATAAACTAGAGCTATATAAATCGGGGCCCAACGCTGGAGAAATCACTCAACCGCCGATTGCGATTGTAATCACTATAGCAGCCAAGTCATTTTTAGGGACCAGGTAAACCCAGGTTCCGCCACAATACATTGTAGTTAGTAGCCGTAGTTCTTCCCCGCTAACCTTTCCCCCCTCTCTGCTGACTTTCGAATCCAATCTCTGCTGACTTTCGGGTCAAATCTCTGCGGACTTTCGGGTCCAATCTCTGCTGACTTTCGAGTCCAATCTCTGCTGACTTTCGGGTCTAATCTCTGCTGACTTTCGAGTCCATTCTCTGAGCAGACTTTCGAGTCCAACCGCAACACTTCTCTGAGCAGACTTTCGAGTCCAACCGCAACATTTCTCTGAGTAGACTTTCGAGTCCAACAACAACTTCTCCGAGCAGACTTTCGAGTCCAACAACAACAACTTCTCCGAGCAGACTTTCGAGTCCAACAACAACTCTTTTCTAAGCAGACTTTCGAGTCCAACAACAACCTCTCTGAGCAAACTTTCGAGTCCACAACACTTCTCCGAGCAGACTTTCGAGTCCAACAACAACCTCTCTGAGCAGACTTTCGAGTCCACAACAACAACTCTCTGAGCAGACTTTCGAGTCCAACGGCAACGTTTCTCCAAGCAGACTTTCAAGTCCCTCCATAATTCTCCGAGCAGACTTGCGAGTCCACGAGCGACTCGCGGCACACGTACCGGCGCGCCCAACAACAACAACCCGCCGCAACCCCGACCGAAGCCGACAACCATTCTTCGCTCTCTTTCCCAGGCACGAGCTGCAACCCGCGAACTACAGACGCGAGAAGACCAACCTGGACGCGGGAAGCCAACACACACCATCGCACCGGACTCACGGAGCTGATCTTTCCCTGCAACGCGAGCCGTCGGTTGTTCTCTACCGCAGCCCCAAATCTTGTTCAAATCTCCTAACTGTAATATTCCGTCAATAAACCGTACTCTTACTCTTTACTGTATCTACCTCTCGAGTTCTCCCTGGGGGGTAACGTATCGGAGAAAATCTTTACAGCAACCACGCCTGAATCAAATAAATATTCCTGCAGGAACCCTGGACGTCCCGCTGAGCCACCCAAGGACGACAGGACGTCACAGGTGGCGCCCGAACAGGTTGAAGTGGTTGTGAATAAAAGATCCGATACCGAGGGAGTGATGTCGAGCTGGGTATACCTTGCATCAAAGAGTGAGCTAACGGAGTACGCGAAAGAGTTCGGGCTAGACGCCACAGGAAGAAGCGAAGATCTAAGGCGGTTACTAGCGGCTTTCGCCAAAAGAACGGATCACACAGAGGCAATAGGACTAAGACTCATAGAACTCACGGAAAAGTTTGAGAAAGAGAAGAGTCCGACAAGAAGCCCAGCACCGGCAATCTTTGTGACAAGCGAAGAAAAGCAGCACACCGACGAACGGCCAACAACAAGTGTGGCAGCAAGGGCTATAGCTACTAAGGAGGATGAGCAAAGGAACGAGCACCGAAGAACGATCACGATAAAAATGGAGGAGGTCAAAGAAAGGAAAGTGGAGCGGAGAATGGAGACAGAAATTGTAGATCGGGTACGAAGTTGGGGCATCCGGTACCAAGGAACAACAAACCCGTTAGAATTCCGGAGCAAGACGGAACAATGGGCGGATGGGTACGGAATACAGAAGGAGCAACTGATACAGACCATGCCATTTATACTGGAAGGGATCGCATACGATTGGTGGAACACCGCACCAACCAGGATAGCGACATGTCGACAGCTAACGACGGAATTGCTGGAACATTTCTTACCGCCAAGATACGGGGAACAACTGGAGACCCAGATCGTACAGCTGAAACAGCGGGAGTCGGAGCCCGTAAGAGAGTACGCAATGAGCTTGAGGAAGCTGATGCGGTTCACAAAACTAACGGAGGAAGAGAAACTCGACCGAGTGTATAAGCTGTATACACGGAGGACAGGGTTTAACACCCTGACGGAGTTCCTCAAGGTGGCGGAAGAAGTGGAGGAAATAGAAGCGGCGGAAAACCTCACACAACAACTACAACAGCCATATCAGCTCAGACCGGACATATACATGCGCTGTGGAGGAACCGGACACGCAGCGAGAACGTGCACGAATCCGCCGAGACTGTTCTGCTGGGTCTGTGGGAGAAACGGCACCCGGACAACAGAATGTTGCAGATCGGGGGCCGGGAAACGACAGAGGCCTGAGCAAATAAAGCTGGCGGCTCAGGCGACAAGGAATCCAGCTATAGAGGACGACCTAAGCTGCGACGGATTCCAGATCATCGCACGGATCGGAATCAGGGAGAAAACGGCACGAGGAGTGGTTGATACGGGGGCATCAAGGAGCGCGATCAGCAAAAACATGTACCAGGATCTGAGGGAACACGGAAAATGGTGGGGGATGCGCGCGGAGATAACACTCGCTAACGGAGCCCGACAAAGAGCAATAGGGAACTTCACAGTGT